TCGACAGGAGGCTGAACATGAGCCAGCAGTGTGCCCAGGTGGCCAAGAAGGCCAATGGCATCCTGGCCTGCATCAAGAACAGTGTGGCCAGCAGGAGCAGGGAAGTGATCCTTCCCCTGTACTCTGCGTTGGTGAGGCCACACCTTGAGTATTGTGTTCAGTTCTGGGCCCCTCAGTTCAGGAAGGACACTGAGGTGCTGGAGCGGGTCCAGAGAAGAGCAACGAGGCTGGTGAAGGGACTTGAGCACAAGTCCTATGAGGAGAGGCTGAGGGAGCTGGGGTTGTTTAGCCTGGAGAAGAAGAGGCTCAGGGATGATCTTATCACTTTTACAACTATCTGAAAAGAGGTTGTAGCCAGGTGGGGGTTGGTCTCTCCTCCCAGGCAACCAACAATAGGACAAGGGGACATGGGCTCAAGCTCTGCCAGGGGAGGTTTAGGTTAGATGTTAGGAAGAAATTCTTTACAGAGAGGGTAATTAAGCATTGGAACAGCCTACCCAGAGAGGTGGTGGATTCACCATCCCTGGAGGTTTTTAAAAAGAGATTGGATGTGACCCTTAGTGCCATGCTATAGTAATTGAGTTGGATCAGGGGTTGGACTTGATGATCTTGGAGGTCTTTTCCAACCCAATCTATTCTATGATTCTATGATTTCCTAGGACAACTGGATCTGCTTTGGGTAGTTAGTGATAGAGAAGTCCAAAACCCCTCAGGGTCATGGCAATACACCTTCGACTGCTGCCACTGCCTGGGGTTTTGAACCAATGGAAGAAATCTGGGCAACCTGTGACCAGTGACCATGCACTGGAACAGACTGCCCAGAGAGTCTGTGGAGTCTCCCTCACTGGAGATGTTCAAGAACCATCCAGACGCAATCCTGTGCAATGTGCTCTAGGATGGCCTGCTTGAGTAAGGAGGCTGGACCAGATGACCCACTGTGGTCCCAACCTTATCCACTCTGTAATTCTGTGAAATTTTAGGAAGAAAGTGTGGGGTAGAACAACTTAATCACCCACTTTTGTGTAATGATCTACTCATTCTCCTCAGTGGAGCAAAAAAATTTAAGATAACACCTCTAATCAAGCTGTCTCTCTTTTTCTGTAGGGCTTTGCAATTTATTTTCCTCCACTTACCACAGCAAAACCATGCACTTTGGTTGAAAGGATCAGCTGAGCACTGCCCTTGGCTCTAATCAGGAGGGAAGGAACACTGAAGCACCCACATCCCAGAGGAGAAGGACCCTGCTTGCATGTGTCACCCCGTAGCGCCATGACATTCCCACATATAGGGAGGGTGCAAGCAGATCCCAATGCAGATTTGACAAAAACTCACTGCAAGACTGCTGGTGTGGGCTGGCGCTGCACTTTTATTGGCCTGGCACAAGTATCTCCTTACTTTCTCTTGCCTAATTTTAGATTCCTGGGGAAAGCTCCACTGAAACAGCAGCTTTACCTCAAAGAAGGGCTCGGCTGACAAAAAAAAACAGAACCAAAACCAAAGGAAAGGAAACAACAAGAAGTGATTACCTGTCTACCTCCAGAGACTAATCCTGTGTCCCAAGTGATTGCTGCAAAGCTAATGTACCCCAGATAGAGAGAGCTCACCAACAGCTTTACAAACAATGAACAGAAAGATCCAGGGGCCTGTTTCTTGAAGCCCTGTCTCAAACTTTGCTTTCAGCCTGAGCATATGAGTTTTTTTAAAATAACTAAACAAACACCCATATTGTGCAATTTTTGATCCTTGCCAAAAAAAGGATGAAGAACTGGACTGACAGGAGTCCTGGCTGTCATTCCAGCACTAGGATGCTTGCACAACACCTGCCTACACCCTCATCGAGCTCCAACACAAGAGCCACAATTATTCTCAAATTAGAGACTGGCAAAAACATGGCATCCTCCTTTCAATAAATGAGCACATGCCAAAAAAATTCCACAGTTGGGCAAAAGTTCAGTGAAAAGGTCAGATTGAACAGTTTTACCCCAGAGGAAATGGGGAGAAGTCAGAACATCTACAGATGAGTCTGAGTATCTATAGCTACTCTATATATTAGTCTAAGTATCCATAAATTCAAGTTTTAGCTAAAAAAAGAAAAGAGCACAACACTTTACACAGGTTACTTTAACTGAGAGGCTCCTTCCAACTTGAAGCTTTTTCTCCTCTTAGCCTCTCTGTCAAAGCAGAAACACCCAGTCGTGCAGCTGCTCCAGAATGTGCTGGTGGTGGGACCAACAGGCCTATAGTCCTCTCTCCCAGTGGACAGGTAAATGGTCACAAACCATTGGCTCCAAGAAAGCACAACATGCTCCAAAACTCATACCAAAAAACATCTGGTCATTCTACACCGAAAGTTACTGCACCTATCTGTGTAAAGGGGAGCTGTCACTGAGAGCAATGAAAGTATCCCTTTCCTCAACCCACACATCTTCCTTCTCTTCCTAAAACATGGTCCATTATTGACTCGGGCCCCTGTTGCAGAACAGAGTCAGGCATTCACAAAAGCCAGGCTCCTGACTTATGTTTCCTCAGCAATACAAACAAATATGTTGAAGATGTGGCCCTTAATCCCCATGCATCCTATTTCAGAAAGCATACCTGCATGCTTTTGACCTCAAATATTTACAGTTGTAATCCTCCAGCATCAGCTTTCTATGTTCAGACTATCTGTGGAATTTTTTTTTTTTAATACTTGAAAAATAATTTAAAAATGGAAACCAAAATCCCAACTGACTTGAACTGCCATGTAATTAACAGCACAAGCCTGGGAAACTCTCAGTATCAGACCAGAGGCCCAGCCAAGAAACAAGAGCTTCCTACTGTCCTCTGGGTTGTGAAAAGAAATAAGGGAAGATACATTTTTCCAAGCCCTCCAGCATGATTTCCCAAGGACAGATCAGCGTTTTTCAAACCCAGAACACACAGTTACAAACGCAGTTACAAACATCTTGTTATGAGTTTCCTTACTGAGAGCTCCACTTCGCAATTTTGCCAAAGGTATCCACACACCTGGTGTTTCTTTGGCCAAGTGACACGCTCCTATTCTTCCAGCCCTTGTACTCCGTAGCAAGACATGAAAGAGAAAGCAGCTCCTTCCCACCCATCTTTGACACATTTGCAAATATGAGGGGGTGATTCAGGCTTCCCTCCTGCCCCCTGAGAAAGTGAGCAGCCTAGGTTTGACAGTGGCAGCAGTGGGGGAATGGTTGGAGCTCAGCTACGCTCCCAACTGTGTTAGCCAGAAGACAATGTACCACAGCCAGGTGACACCACTGCACAGCCCACACCACCTCCTACTTTGATGTGAAAGCTCTGGGAATCAGGACAGAAAAGATTTCCTTGAAGTTCAGGGTTTTTTTCCCCTTTCTTTGATGCTGCTGTTCTTGATAAAACAAGTTCTAAAAGACAACGGCTGTTTCTAATGTATAGTGATGAAGGGTTGGCAAAATTGGAACTTATTTCCCCTCTAAGCTCAGAAAAACTAATTTAAGAAAGCTAAAATTCCCAAGACACAAAACTGAACAGTTTTGCCTCCTTAAGAGGCAAAACTCCTTTGCCTCATTCATTATGA